TGTCATTAGCAAGTAATTGAACATTTTTACTTGTAGTTTTGATTTAATGTTCAAGCATCAACAAAACATGTTTGCTTTAACCCTTATGCTGCATTAGGGACATTTTTGGTCTTTTGCAGTTTAATTTCTTTGACCATTTTGGCTGTTTTAATGCAAATGGTATGAAATTTGGCAAAATTGTGACTTTTTGGATACATGTAAAAAATGTGATCCCATTTTGCAAAATATGTATAACACACACTGTGTAGATCAAATAGTAACACTCAGCACCATAAAGACCAAAAATGGCCCATTGAAACCCATTAAAACGTTGTTTAAATCTGAGGCTGTCAGTAATACATGAAACATGATTTTTGCACAAACATCCTTTCATTTTGAAGCAAAAGCATTATATTAGCATTATATAGTGTATTCCACCAGATGACGTCACTACATATTTATTCCCTATGGGTGGAAATGCACCTTATTTTAGGCAATAGGCAACGTTTAATAGGTGGCCATTTTTGGTCTCTAACGCGCTAAGTGGGATTTTTTGCAAAGTGGGACTGTGATAATCCAAATCTAAAGTTTTCTCTTTGCATTTAGTTTATTGAAAATAATTGAATTTTTGTGTTTTTTCCTCTTATACAAATCGATGGTTTCGCAAACAAAACTGGCAAATAAAGGGTTAAAATCCTGAAATTGAATACATTTTTGGTAGTTATGATGAGGACTGATGCTGGTTAAAAGATTTAACTTGGTAAAAGTGGAAAATAATAATAATATATAATATTTTAGGCAATGTTTAATATGTGGCCATTTTTGGTCCTTAATGCACTCAACGGTGTTAAAAATCTAATGCAGCACAAGGGTTAAAACAATTCCCAAGAACAATCGCAAACTTGAAATCAAATCGGTGTGTGTTTTTAAAAGCTGCAGTAATACCTATACTGAATTTTATTACAGAGATTGGTATAATTTGGTTTTAACTATATCTCAATATCTTCTGGTTATGTGCATGATGCAAGAGATTGAAATGATGTTTAAATCCCAGACAGAAACATGTCGGCCCAGATCCGGCCCACATCTGGTATGCGTTGAAATCCGTCCTTCTAGTGAAATGGTGTAGATTCAACATCCAGTAAAAACAACAAAAAAACTCAGTCAGCACAAATGTTTCACAAATCGTTTCCTGTATGAACTTCCTGTAACACACAGTTTGTGCCTGTAAGTGTCTCTACACTCGCACGCTGAAGACTTGAGTTGGCACCGTTTTCATTGTCAAATCTTCACGTCAGATTTGTGTTTTCCTTCCCCGGATCTGCTTCTCTGCTCTGTCCTCTCCCCGAGGGCCTCTAATGGGCCGAGTTATCTGTGTTCTGGTCGTCTGTGTTCCTTCACTCGGTGTACCGCTCTGGTGCCTCTTGAACGGATGGTTTGCTGTCAGATTGATTTTAGCCGATGCGATTGGAGATGTGATGAGATAATGATCACGTCCTGCAGACTCCTGTAATCGCTTCAGCTAAACACTGCATCAGGGAGCCTGTCAGCGTCTGCCGTGTGCTAATGCGTTCACTAATGTACAGTAAAGTGGCTCTGTGGAAATGATTTTTTTTGCCGGCCACCACTGTTATCTAAAGACCACAGACGTCATTTACGCTAGCTTACACCCGCTTTATGAGCGTCTAATATCTAAAACATCTCCAAAATGCAAACAAATGTGTTTGCTCTGTTTTTTTTTTTTTTCTACATAGACCTAGAGACATTGACTTTTGAAGATTCTTCAAGACAGACCAACCATGACCTAGGAGGTTATTAATACATTTTGTTATACGCTTCTCTTGAATACATTTCTTAATCTTTTATTTAGTAAAGATTCACTTTAATAACCAAAATCAGCTACTTCTATATTTTTGTATATTGAGCAGGACATTTAAAACGTAGATTTTACTTAAAACCAATGACAGACACGATCATACTGTACAGTTTTGTCATGTGATATTATTCACTGGATTGTAGTTCATTCCTTCAGTAAACACAAGTTGTATTTTTCAATTGGTGTTCTCATATTTTTTGGTTCAAATCAACATTTATAATGTCTTAATTCATCTCAGACATGGTTGATTTGGTTAATGGCTTAAATCTTATTTATTGATTTATTTAATCCCTATGGAAGAAATGAAAAGTGCCATTGCTCAGCTATGATTTTATATACTGACTTACAAAACCATAGATAGAGCGGAAGTCATTATCAAATTCAATTAAACATGTCAGAAGTTCATTTGATGTGAGGTCAGTGTGAAGAGACTCTCTCTCTCTCTCTCTCTCTCTCTATATATATATATATATATATATATATATATATTTGTTTATATTAAAAAAACTCATATATATCACTTTTTTTTCGCTTGCAGGTGCTTTTCAGCCAATTATTTTTGCCGGCATGGTCTGTATTTTTGTAATCACTTTTTTTGCGAGAGGAAAAAAAAAACGTTTTAGTCACATAACATCTGTTGAAACGTTATTGTGAAACTACATTTCACAGTCATTTAGAAAATTTCATGGACATTTAGAAAATATCGCAAAAGTGTTTGTGCAAATCTGTAATGGAAACGTGGCTAATGACTCATTCAATGTTTGGTGTCAATATGCCAACAAGTTACAGCCTCAGAATCAGCTTGGGACTATGCCATCAAACTTGTTGAGGCATTTTTGTTTTTGGGAATAGTTTAGTCAATAAAAAAAATGTTTATAGTGTTTTGATCTGATGATCTGAGCCGATTTTGGTGAAAATTGGACCAATGGCCTTGGAGAAAGAAAAGTTTTCAAAGAGCTTTGTATATAATGTGTCCCCAGTATGACTCAATGAATCTATAAATACCAGTTTCATTTAAATAGGCAAATTTAATCAAAACCTATTAGCATTTTTTCAACTCCATATAAATTTTTGACCAGAAGGTGGTGCTGTTCTGAGGACCTTAAAGGCATGGTCCCGATGACACACACCTATTTCGTAACAATATGCTAATGTAGTCATACAATTCAGCATTAAATGATACAATTCAGAATGGCTGATGTGGGGAAAATACGCATCAGTTGAATATTTGAATCTAAAGATCCGTTCAGAAGTTGCTAGCAAAAATAGTCATTTTTCATTTCTCCTCACCACTAGGTGGCGCTTTGCCGAAAACACGTTCATGTAGCTTCACGTTATTACCTGTAGCAAAACTAGTCTCGATTCACTAAAGCCATGTTCACACTACAGGATTTTAAGCCCGATTTGCAAATCGTTGAGCTCGCCGACAGGTCAGGGTGTTATCGCGTGCAAATCGCGGGGGATTAGCGGACGATGAACGCTTGCCAATCTGTTAGTATGAAAGAGCCAACAATGCAGCGAAAACGCTCGCCGAGCCCAGAAAAATATCTAGCCTGCTAGATATCCAGAGCAGTCGCGCGACTCAACCTACAGCCAATCATAGCGACGCATGGGTTGAGGACACCAGGTAAATCTTAGTTTTTATTTTATTATTATTTTTTATTTTTTTGCATTTTTTTCTCAGAGCAGATCGTCGCGCAAACAGTGTGCAGCACTAGTTTCTGTCTGACGTCCATATTCACGTGTTGTGTTCTCTTCGCACGTGCTGTTTCGCGTCATTTCTGGTTCGTTTTATTGCTGTTTTTTCGTGACAAAACGTGGTTTCTAGTCCAGATAGAATCGTGTTGTTGTCAACTCGTTATTTATTTGATTATTTTCATGATTTAGACCGTAATATAGTACTGAAACAGCTCTTATTAGAGTCAAAAATGATTTGCTCTTATCATCCGATCGTGGTTGTATCTCTATGTAGTGCGTTGTCAACTCGTGTAGTGGGTTACCTCCTGTTGCGGATCAATCACGTCGTGTCGTGTGGTGTGAACAGCTAAACAACTTGAACACCCATGATTTCACAGAGAGCAAGTCATTTAGAGTGAACCGCACAATTCAGCCCGACGTTTTAAAATCATGTAGCGTGAACTAGGCTTAAAGCGAAGTAGAGATACAGCCTCATATCCTTCGTCAAATTCGTTATTCAAGAACGGTTGGGTTTATCAAAAAGCTTTTTAAAAAAATAAATAAAAATCGGAGTTTAAAGGGTTAGTTCACCCAAAAATGAAAATTAAGTCATTAATTACTCACCCCCATGCTGTACCAACCCCGTAAGACCTTCATTCGTCTTCGGAGCACAAATTAAGATATTTTTGATTAAATTTGAGAGCTGTATAACTACCACATTGGCTCCTAAAGGACTGCCTCTTGACGGCCCAGAAAGTCAATGAAGAAAATGTTTAAATATCCCAAGTGACTACCGTGGCTCAACTATAAGTTTATCAAGCGACGAGAATACTTTTTGTCCGAAAAAACAAACAAAAATAACGAGTTTATTCGACTATTCCTTTTCTTCCTTGTAGGCCAGAAACGAGACTTTCTTAGATTTCCACGACGCATGCACGAGAATTGCGATCTCCTTACACTACTTCAGATCGCAATTCTCGCGGATGCGTCGTGGAAATCTAAGAAAGTCTCGTTTCTGGCCTACAAGGAAGAAAAGAAATAGTCGAATAAACTCGTTATTTTTGTTTGTTTTTTTCGCACGAAAAGTATTCTCGTCGCTTGAGAAACATATAGTTGAGCCACAGTAGTCACTTGGGATATTTAAACATTTTCTTCATTGACTTTCTGGGCCGTCAAGAGGCAGTCCAAAAATATCTTCATTTGTGTTCCGAAGATGAACGAAGGTCTTACGGGGTTGGAACAGCATGGGGGTGAGTAATTAATGACTTAATTTTCATTTTTGGGTGAACTAACCCTTTAAAGGTGCTTGGCTCTTTTAACATTGTAACAATAGTTCACTGTTTGTACAGTGTTTCTGACCAAATTGGTAATCATAAGAGACTTCATTAAAAAACAATCTGACCACTATATATGTGTGTATAAACAGTTTTACACTTCACTGATGAAATGCTGTTCTTTTCCTCTTCAGATTGCCGAGATGGCTTTAAACCAAAGCGAGTTGTTCTCTTCTCTCCAACACATCACTCCGTACCCAATCCCAGTTACCACTCCCAGTCCAAATACAATCTTGAGCAACGAAATCGGGGTGATCGCCGGCGCGACCATCCTCAGCCTCGTGTTTCTCCTCGGCGTTCCCGGGAACATCTTCATCGTCTGGAGTATCCTGGCCCGAGCTCGCCGGCGCTCCGTCACCACCCTCCTGATCCTGAACCTGGCCTTCGCCGACGGCTTCCTCATGCTGCTGACGCCCTTCTTCGTGGTTTATTTGGTTAAGCGAGGTTGGATTTTCAGGCTGGCGCTGTGCAAAGTGCTGTTCTACCTCTGCTGCACCAACATGTACGCCTCCATATTCCTGATCACGCTGATGAGTCTGCACAGGCTGGTGGCGATCGTGTGGCCGAAGCGCGTGGCTGCGGTGACCGACCCCCGGGCGCTCACACGGGTCATTGTGGGACTCTGGGTTCTCGCTCTGGGACTCTCAGTGCCCGTTTTGGTTTTCAGGACCACGGAAGGGACATCGGAAGAGAATCTCGTGTGCGACTGCAATCACACAAAACCCCAATATGTGAGTCTGTGCTGCTCAAACCCAAACATTACACACATATTCAAGAAGTCTTTCTCTTCACCAAAGAATCCTAAAAAATAAAATTTATTGAAGCTATGGAGCAGCACAATGTAGTTTGATCATCAGGGGCCAGTTGGTCAAAGGTAAGCTGATCGGATTTTGGTTATCGGATTGGATCAAATCTTGAAAATGGGTTGTTCAAAAGGGAAAGAAGGAATCTGACATCAGATTAGATCAGGGAATCCAATCCTAGTTTTAATCTGGATTAAACCTTCAGTTTGTGTTTTTCAAAACTTTGGGTAACTTTGATCCAAAAAAACAGGATTATCCTGATCCCAACAGAGGGTAGGATTTCAAGGTGGATTTCAGGATGAAAATGTAGTAAAACTTTAAAATTGGTCAAAAAATACCTTTGTATCATTTTTGTATATACTTTTATTTATATTTTGCACTTGACTTGTGTAACCGTTGTAACAGTGATAAACATAAAGTAGACATAGGCTAACAATTAAAGGGATACTCCACTTTTTTTGGAAATAGGCTCATTTTACAATTCCCCCAGAGTTAAACAGTTGAGTTTGACCGTTTTCAGATTTATTCAGCCGATTTTCTGATATTTAGAAGAATATCAGTATCCAGACAGTTTCTGGTCTCATTGACTTCCATAGTATATTTTATTTTCCTACTATGAAAGTCAATGAGACCAGAAACGGTCTGGATACTGATATTCTTCTAAATATCAGAAAATCAGCTGAATGGATTTCGAAAACGGTAAAACCCTACTGTTTAACTCTGGGGGAGTTGTAAAATGAGTCTATTTCCAAAAAAGTAGAGTATCCCTTTAAGCTATTCAGTACAGTAAAGTACAATAAAAAATAAAAATGATGTTGTCCCCATTTGCGTTTAGTCTCAAAATAAGAAACACTTACAGTGACCCCATGTAAGAAACACTTAGGTAGCCCACATTGTGATATGTTGTCCCATTTAGACCACTGGTAATCCAGATTTGGTAATCTTGAAAACTGTGAATCTGGATCAGGGTGATCCAGTCGAATGTTGCTTTGAAAAACCGGCATAAAAGTAAGACGGATTACCTGATCCTGGATAGGAAAAAATGGGATTTCCAAATCCGGATCGTTTTGATCCAGAATAAATGTTTTGAACAACTGGCCCCAGATCCTTTATTATTATTACAGAAATAATAAATTCACAGGAATAAATTACACTTTACTATATATTCACGCAGAACACAGTTATTTTAATATTACAGGTTTCTACAGTATTTTTGGTGCAGCCTTGTTGAGAATAAAAGACATTTAAAAACATGGTTACACTTTATTTCGATTGTCCACTTTAGACATTCTACTAACTATAAGTAACTTTACAATTAAATGTCAATTAACTCTTATTAGAGTATTAGTAGACTTGAGGTTAATTCTCGTGTTACGCATCACGTCAACTAACTCTCATTGGAGTATTAGCTGCAAAGTTCGTAGAATGGCTAAAGTGACTATCAAAATAAAGTGTTTCCAAAAACTTTTAACAAACAGTAGTGTATATGAGATGACAAGATGATGAAAAGTCATCTTAAAATACAATTTCTCCTCATGCGTAAATAAACTTCCTGTGTATTTTCAAAATACATAAACATTCACTAGCCTACACCAACAATAATAAACACATCGTTCTGATTTATTTTGTCATTGTTCAATTGTGACTGATGCTGTTACAGGGTCTTTCACACGCATTATTCACCCCACTGAACGTTTTACACATTTTCTCGCTTTACAACCTGGAATTACGAGTTGGAGTTTGAACATGTTTGAATCTGCAATCATGTTTTGGTGTAACCTAAAAGTTCCTTAAGCCTCAGGCAATATCTGCTGGCTGTAAGTGTGCATCAGCTCTTGAAGCATCTTTGCTCCAGTGTTCTGGGAATGTTATCAGGTTTGCACATCTTCACGCTGTAATGTCTGGAAATCTTCCTTGGAAAAACCTCCCAGGCTCTGTCAGGTTAGAAGTAACTGGCTTCATGGGCCCTTCTGCTTGTATATCATCATGCTGATTTGTCCGTTTGAACCTTCATGTCAGTGAAGAGCTTCTCCATATGTTTCTGCCATAAATAGTGTTTTGTGCCAAAAACATTTGTTAGAGATCTATTTTTGTACAACAAACCTTCCGGCAAACATTTTTTTTTCTATAAACAAACCAGGATAACGCTTCTCTACAAATTGTTCCCAGACCTGAGTCAACAAAACTTTTATTTTTATTTATTTTCTGTAGCAGGACATTTTAAAGGGGTCATATAATGGTACATGCACTTTTTTCAAGTTGATTGTCCTGAAATGTGTGTTGGCAGTGCCTGTATTTTCTTTGACGTGAATAAAACAGACGCCCCTCCCACAATTGTTGATTGACAGCAGTGTTTCAACACAGACCTGCCCTGAGCGAGCTGTCATCATAGTCCGTCATTGTTGATACGAGTTTTGTTTTCGAAGGGAATATTCCCCTTCTCCATAGCTGGAGATGAACTTTATTCTGGAGTTGATGAAGAACCAGAACAAAAAATATTTTCAACATTTGTTATCACAACATATTTTCTTTTGTCAAATCAACTTTATAATAATTTATTTAGTTGAGATAACTTATTATTTTGAGTTTCTGATGATTAAATTAATCTACGTCATTGAATTAACTCACTTTTTCCAGTTCAATCAACTTAAAATTTTAAGGCAACTCAGGTTACTTACTTTTTTAAGTTAAACCAACAATATTTTTTTACAGTGTAGTAATCATAACATGTTTTCTTTTCTCAAATCAACTTAAATAATTTATTTAGTTCAGATAACATATAATTTTGAGTTTCTGATGGTTAAATGAATCTCCTTCATTGTATTAACTCACTTTTTCTAGTTCAATCAACTTAAAATTTTAAGGCAACCAGGTTACTTACTTTTTTAAGTTAAACCAACAATATTTTTTTACAGTGTAGTAATCATAACATGTTTTCTTTTCTCAAATCAACTTAAATAATTTATTTAGTTCAGATAACATATAATTTTGAGTTTCTGATGATTAAATCATTCTCCTTCATTGTATTAACTCACTTTTTCCAGTTCAATGAACTTAAAATTTTAAGGCAACCAGGTTACTTACTTTTTTAAGTTAAACCAACAATATTTTTTTACAGTGTGTTACTTTAATTTCCTATTATCACTAGCGCTATATATAAGAAGATGAGAAAAAAAATGTTGCTCTGTTTTTCTGAATTAACGAGTTAATTTTTCATGAGATTTTTTTTTTTGCTCTGTTTTTCTGAATTAATGAGTTAATTTTTAATGGAATTTTTTTTTGCTCTGTTTTTCTGAATTAATGAGTTAATTCAGAAAAACAGCAAAAATAAATTTTCTCATGAAAAATTAACTCATTAATTCAGAAAAGCAGAGCAAAAACTTTTTTTCTCAAGAAAAACTAACTCATTAATTCAGAAAAACAGAGCAAAAACTTTTTTTTTCATGAAAAATTAACTCATTAATTCAGAAAAACAGAGCAAAAACTTTTTTCTCAAGAAAAACTAACTCATTAATTCAGAAAAACAGAGCAATTTTTTTTTCTCAGGAAAAATTAACTCGTTAATTCAGAAAAAACAGAGCAAAAATGTTTTTTCTCATGAAAAATTAACTCGTTAATTCAGAAAAACAGAGCAAAAAAAAATTTCTCATGAAAAATTAACTCATTAATTCAGAAAAACAGAGCAAATTTTTTTTCTCATGAAAAATTAACTCGTTAATTCAGAAAAACAGAGTAGATTTTTTTCCTTCAAGTGAATGCAATACGCCTCCGTAAAAATGTAATTCATTCCTGTGATCTGAATTTTCAGCATCATTACTCCAGTCTTCAGTGTCACATGATCCTTCAGAAATCACTCTGATTTGCTTCTCAAGAATCATTTATTATTATTATTATTATTATTACCAATGTTTAAAACTCTTTTGCTGCTCCTTATTTTTGTGTAAACCATGATACTTTTTTTCATGATTCCTTGATGGATATAAGCGTCTCATAAGCGTTGTTGTTCATCTGTAGGTGGTGATGCAGTACGGCATGGAAACGGTACTGAGCTTCTTGTTGCCGTACGGTGTGATCATAGGCAGTTACGTGTGTATCTTGCGCAAAATCCGCAAAACGCGCTTTCGCAGACGCATCCGCAGCGAGAAACTCATCCTGGTGATCATCGTCACCTTCGGGCTGTTCTGGCTGCCGTACCACATCATAAACATGATTCAGGTGTGTGTTATACGTCAAAGGCTTAATCAGAAGTGTCTCAAATGTGAAAACGCTCTAAAAATGTTTCCCTCACACAGGTCGCTGCTGCTTTACATCCAGAAGGTGAAACAAAAGTTAGGTGAGTAACTTTAAAGGGCACCTATTATGCCCCTTTCTACAAGATGTAATATTGGTCTCAGGTGTCCCCAGAATGTATTTGTGAAGTTTCAGCTCAAAATACCCCACAGTTAATTTATTATAACCATTTGAAAATGTCATTTTGGGGCCTGTTTGAAAATGAGCTGTTTTGGTGTATACCACCTTAAATGAAAAATGAGCTGCATATCCCCGCCCTGCCTTTGGATGAGGGCGTCACTTGATACCTATGGCAGTCGGTACTGAGAGAGTGAGACAAACCGCTGTTTTGTCTGTCATTCAGAGTACGTTTGAATCGGAATATATAAATAGTACAAAGAGACTCCGGCCGAATAAAACACAATTGAGAATGGACCAGTACGTCTCGGTATGGTTATTTGATACATTTATGTACTTATTATAGAGTTGTAATCGCGTCCGGATGTGCAACACACACACACAGACACACACAAACACTGAAGCTGGCGCAATATTTTGAAACTACATACACATTCTGTGATAAAGTTTGCTTACGTACAAGCGAAATTACATTTATTGAGATTGTAAAAAAAAACACTGGGTGGATTTTTATCATTCTAGGGTGGTTTTCCTCACACACTGCCAACACACATTTATGTTCAAACACCATGTAAAAGTGAATTTTCTATAATAGGTGCCCTTTAAGAAAACACTCTAGGCATGACTTCAGTAACACCGGCTAATTTACAAACTCATTTCTGTTCTTCCTCGTGCAGACTAACGAAAATCTCGACGTCAATGCGAGCGCTCACCTCCACCGTGGCTTTCGTCAGCAGCTGCATAAACCCCATCCTCTACACCTTCGCCGGAAAGTCGTACATCCGACAGGAAGGGCTGGCTTTCATGGCGCGGCTGTTCGAGGCAACGGCACTTTATTCGACGCGGAAGATCCGCCAGAGCAATCAAAACAGCCGAGATAAGGACACCGATGAAGGAGGAAGTCTCAAAGACAAAGACTCCGATTCCATCACCACCCCTCACCAGAGCTGCATCGTTAAAGTTTCGCCGCAGAAAAACGGAAAGTGAGTGGAAAATGGCTGCGAAATTCAACTTTGAGAGTTGCTCTTTCCAGTGTTGCATGGTGGGTTAATCGAGGCAGCTTGTGGTTTTTCAACCAATGAAAGTGAATCCAAGTTTCTTTTGTGAAATAGAAACTGTGTACCAATTGTGTTCCAAAAAGCCACAATAGAAGAAGGAGATCAGTGCCTAACTCAAACCATCACCTGACCGGCGGCGGTAGGGTCTTTACTCATTAAGGAACAGGTTCAGAAACATGAAAGTCCACAGAGAAGCTCTTAAAGATCTGCTTCATGTCTTTGCCCAGTAGAGGGCGTCACACAACTGAGAGAGAGAGAGAGATGAACTGCTACAGAAACAGACCGCTTGCTCATCACCACTAACGGTTTGCATGATTGTAAATAGTGTTGTTAGTGTGTAAATAGTTTTTTGTTATGCAAATGTTGAACACATCTAGAATAAGTAGATATGTTGGGACTATTATTGTAACATTTCAATTTAATTATGAAATGAACAAAAAGTTGAAAAAGATTCGTTAAATTTGCTTTACGAAACTCAAAGATCAGAGTCAGTGAAATTACCCGAACTTCATCACTAGTTGTAAACAAAGATTCAAGACTGACCAATGAGAAGAGTTTGGTCAGTACTGAGATTTGAGAAGGAACTCTGTCATTGGGCCAAATTTATTATTTTATATAATAATATTTTATTATTATTTATTATTTTATATAATAATAATTTGACAAGGGTTGCACTCCCAATATATATAGAGAGAATTCCATGACAGTCAATGTTTCAACTCTGATGACCGAAAAAGATGGTGTAATCAGAATATTAGGGTTTAATTGAGACTTTTGTTGTCATGGTAACAATTAATGAGGTAAATCAAAGTTTGAGTATTTATGTTTTTTAATTATGTCTGGATCACTGTACAAATGTTTACACTAATGGCATCGTTCATATTAAATGTGATGTTTTACACTGATGCATGTTTGCATGTGTGTTTTGTGAAGCTTAGTTGAAAAATGTAGTTGTAGTTTTGGTTATGGAAATGTTACAATTTCAAGTTTGAATGATGTTCCTGAAACATTATTTCAAACGTTCAAAACGCCTGCAAACAAGCAGAATCACTGAAGGAAAGAGAAAGCAGGGGAGGATTAAACATCTCCACAAACACATTATCAGCTTCCAACTTTATATCTCTCATAGAAAGGTATAGAATATACCTTACATATAGTTACATATAAGTTATATTTGATAACTATCAGAGGTTTAGATGTTTAAATGTTTAATTTGTTAATTAAGTAAGCACCATTATGATGATCGGTGTTTGCTTTAGTTGGGATCTTGACCCTTGATTTTTTTTCTAGTTTTTTTCTCTTTCAGCAATTTATGTTTTCAAAATAATGATTCTGCACTGATAAATAAACTGATACAAATATATAAATGTGTGGTGAAGGATTTGGTTTAGGACTGGTGCTCTTAATTGGTTAATGACATTAATTAAGCGGCATTTACAAAGCGGAGATTGGGAACCATTCAGCTGTGCACAATTTAAAGATAATTTGTGATTTATAAATTTCACTTCTGAAAGAGAAGTATCTCACGTACACCCGTATGCACGTTTGAGAAATGATCGCAGGATTAAATCATTTTTAAAGAGTAACTAAACCCTAAACCAACTCTTTTTAGTTAATGATCTGTAAGAATGGATCTTTATTAATCCCAGTCACTGATTCGAGTAACTTTTTTGACATTTGTATAAAGTGTTTTACTTCTACAATGGTGCAAAAAGCTCTTACCGCTGCCCTCTTTAGGTTGAACGATGGCTATTGCAGTTGAATTTTCCTATTGGATGTTCCGCACTTCGTGACGTACGCAGGTTTCAGCTCATCACGCTCTTGGTACGAGCGGCAGTATAAAAACCAGCTTGTTTCATCAAAACCACTGTATCGAGTCAAGAGTTGGAATTGTGAGTATTGAAAATGATCAGGATAGAGTGTTTTAGCATCTATTTCGTCCCCTCTATCTCCGCTGGGCTCTGCCCACTTTTTCAGCATTTTTCAAATATTGCCAGTGGGTGGAGTCAGGCTCTGACCAGGGGTTTAGTTACCCTTCAAGCAACATTTTATTAATGAACCCCAGACGATTGACAAACAATCTATTAACGTCACCAGAAGTTTGTTCAAAACTTTGAGAACATTGCCAAAACGTTAGGCAAAGTTAAGTTCCCTGTTAGTTGGGTACTGGTTGTTTTTGGTGTGAATATCAGCCGTGTTGATATAATATCTGTTAGGTTCATGTAGCCTTAAGTGTGTGTGTGCGCGTTAACTGTAAATATCCTTGACAAATCAACTGTCTGATTATTAAGTCCAGATTGTAATATAAAATGATGAGCAATGTTCGGAGATGTATTCTGAAAATAAGGAAAAGAAATACTCAATAAATTAATCATTTTCGTTTTTGTTCATTTCCAATTATTTTAAAGGGTTAGATGACCCACAAATGCAAATTATGCCATCATTTACTCACCCTCATGTCGTTTCAAACCTATAAGAAGTTTGTTCATCTTCTGAACACAAATGAACATCTGTTTAATGAAATCACTACGATTTTATGTCCCTCCATAGACAGCAACACAAATACAACTTTCAAGGCCCAGAAAAGTGGGCAAGACATCATTAAAGTAATCCATGTGACTTCAGTGCTTTAACCTCAATGTTATGAAGGGACCCCGACAACAAGAGCAAATAAAGCAGGTAACAAGGGTGGACAGGTGTGTCAAATTAATCAATAATCAGGAAACAACATGGGATAGACAATCAACAGGAGAGCACATGGTACAAGGAAACACACAAAAAACCATGTGCTCACACAAAACTGCTAAAGCCTTGTTCACACTACATGATTTTAAAACGTCAGGCTGAACTGTGCGGTTCACTCTACATGACTTGCTCTCTGTGAAATCAGGAGTGTTCAAGTTGTTGAGATGTTCACACCACACGACACAACGTGATTGATCCGCAACAGGAGGTACCCAAAGGGGGAGAGCTGTGGGGGAGGAGCTGTGGAGGGAGGAGCTGAGGAGGGAGGAGCTGTGGGGGAGGAGCTGAGGGGGAGGAGCTGTGGGGGAGGAGCTGTGGAGGGAGGAGCTGAGGAGGGAGGAGCTGTGGGGGAGGAGCTGAGGAGGAGGAGCTGTGGAGGGAGGAGCTGAGGAGGGAGGAGCTGTGGGGGAGGAGCTGTGGGGGAGGAGCTGAGGGGGAGGAGCTGTCGGGGGAGGAGCTGTGGAGGGAGGAGCTGTGGGGGAGGAGCTGAGGGGGAGGAGCTGTGGGGGAGGAGCTGTGGAGGAGGAGCTGTGGAGGGAGGAGCTGTGAGGGAGGAGCTGTGGGGGAGGAGCTGTGGAGGAGGAGCTGTGGAGGGAGGAGCTGTGGAAGAGGAGCTGTGGAGGAGGAGCTGTGGAGGAGCTGTGGAAGAGGAGCTGTGGAGGAGGAGCTGTGGGGGAGGAGCTGTGGGGGAGGAGCTGTGGAGGAGGAGCTGTGGGGGAGGAGCTGTGGAGGAGGAGCTGTGGAAGAGGAGCTGTGGGGGAGGAGCTGTGGAGGGAGGAGCTGTGGGGGAGGAGCTGTGGAGGGAGGAGCTGTGGAGGGAGGAGCTGTGGAGGGAGGAGCTGTGGGGGAGGAGCTGTGGAGGAGGAGCTGTGGAGGGAGGAGCTGTGGAGGAGGAGGAGGAGCTGTGGAGGAGGAGCTGTGGGGGAGGAGCTGTGGAGGAGGAGCTGAGGAGGGAGGAGCTGTGGGGGAGGAGCTGTGGAGGGAGGAGCTGTGGGGCAGGAGCTGTGGAAGAGGAGCTGTGGAGGAGCTGTGGGGGAGGAGCTGTGGAGGAGGAGCTGTGGGGGAGGAGCTGTGGAGGAGGAGCTGTGGGGGAGGAGCTGTGGAGGGAGGAGCTGTGGAGGAGGAGCTGTGGGGGAGGAGCTGTGGAGGGAGGAGCTGTGGAGGAGGAGCTGTGGAAGAGGAGCTGTGGAGGAGGAGCTGTGGGGGAGGAGCTGAGGGGGAGGAGCTGTGGGGGAGGAGCTGTGGGGGAGGAGCTGTGGAGGACGAGCTGAGGAGGGAGGAGCTGTGGAGGGAGGAGCTGAGGGGGAGGAGCTTGGGTGGGAGGAGTTGTGGGGGGAGGAGCTGTGGGGGAGGAGCTGTGGAGGAGGAGCTGTGGAAGAGGAGCTGTGGGGGAGGAGCTGTGGAGGGAGGAGCTGAGGGGGAGGAGCTTGGGTGGGAGGAGTTGTGGGGGGAGGAGCTGTAGCGCAGCAGAGAGCGAAGGGGTGGGACCTGTAAGTTGTGCTTGTTCAAATTTTCAGTCTAAGTCAATGTTCTCTCAAAACTCACTTAATATGTTATGTGAATCCTGCCCTAGATCTTAAAGGGAATGTGTACAACTGCACTGCAAACAAAAAACCTGGTTGGTTTCACTCCCAAAATCCAGTGAACTGCAGATCCAAAACTTCAGCTCCGGTAGATCTGTCAAAATGAATCCACTGGACAGAAATCTCACGCACTGTTCTAATGTTGCGAGTGAAATGTCCCACTCTGATTACGACAGTCTGTGCAAACGCTCACTCTCCGCTGTTATGAAACAATGCGAGTCGTTTGGAAATCGAAGGACACTGCAATTATCAGTGATCACAGGACTCCTCGTCTAAATCCATTCAAAACAGAGAGAAAGTGGGATGAAGAGGGGAGAAAAAGATGGAAACTGGGAAGACAAAATGCAACAGAAATAAATGATACCAAAATAATAAATGAAACTGTAAAGACATTTTGTAAGTGTTAAGTGTTCTTTTCTCTTTCCTGTCTGGGGAAATTGGTTGTTTCTCAAGCCGTGAAACTGAAGAGGAAGCCATGACGCTACTGAAGAAAAAAAAAAACAAAAAAAAACACTATTTAAAAGATGTTAATGATAAGGACAGCCTGAGACACTGGATAGAACTGATTCTGAAACAACTGCCACGATAACATCCTCATTTGCGGCATTCATACTACAAGACGTACAGTACAAGCCAGCCCATGTGATTATACGCTCTCTCTCACTGAGGTAAGGCTTTTTCATGTCTAAATATATATATATATATATATATATATATATATAATATGATGTGCAAGGTCCAGAAGGAAGTATTTTGGTGTTGTTTTCTTGAGAGTAAATTGGACTTGGTGACTGTTTATATATATATATATATATATATATATATATAGTCTATAATAGTCACATTTCTAATGCTTGTGCTTGAAATGTTCTTCTTTAAGAAGATTGCAACATTTAGCATTGCTACACGAGTAGAGCATCTCATCAGTCGCAAATTTACGTGTCTAAAATATGGTTCACACATCCTATCAGCAGGAAACATTTCACAGAATAGACAACTAGCAGAATATCACATATTAAAATAGAAAATTACTTAACACACATTTAAACCAAAATAAGCATTGAAAATATAAATAGGTCACTATAAATATAAAAAAGGTGCAAGAACTGTAACATAAGCATATTTGAACTGAGCAACATACCAGTGCAACAAGTTGTGGTTTGCTAAGTAAAAAAAAAAAAAAAAAGTGCTAAAAACAACACGTATCTCAGTGTTGCTTCAGCTTCTGGAGCAAAGGGTGTTGCGGGTGAGGACTGGCCATCTAGAGCAGCCGGAGTTTCTCCAATTTCTCATTATTATGCAATTCATGACACACTATAATTCCTAATAGTCAGTGAGAAGCAAAATAAATAAATAAATAAATAAATATATACATATTACTGCACAGCAGATTATCAGGTATATATAAGAAAAAGAGTGAATGTTTGTGAATATAAAACATTCATATTGTGAATAACTTGGTTTCCCGGTAGACTTTCAGCAATTTCACTTGAAAATGATACATAAAAAATGTGGGAAGCTGCCACCCTTGAACAAAAACTTGCCAAAACTTGTGGCTTTCAATGAAGTGTGTGCAGTGTCCTATTACATGTTTAAAAAATACATATTGGCTATATATTTTGAGCTTTCAAAATTCTATTCGCCAGAGATACCAGGAAACGCCAGGCAAATTATAACAAAGAAGTATGCCAGTCATTTATTAATTTTAATGATAATTATGATTTTATTAATTTCTAATATAATTTATATTTCTTCAATTTTTAGTGTTAAATAATTATCAGCACAAAATGAGCCAGACCGAGTGCCAGAAAGGCCAGGGCCACTTTTTATTCCCAGTCCTCCCCAGTGTAGCATTAAGATGAAGTTGGAGAAAGTAAACATTTAAAAAAAACTCTACAAAACCCTACACTGTGTTGTTGTGCCGTACACGAAGCAAGAATACGCCCCAACTGCTAATAAGATTAAAAGTGTTTTGCTGCAAACGAAAAAAGGAACTGCTCTCTGGTTGGGCAATATCACCACCACTAACTGCAAACACACCACAAGACTTTTTATACAGATGCATGGATGGATCCCAGATAGCAGCATGGAGTCGGCCCGGAGTCGGCCCAGATCCGGCCCACATCTGGCACATGTGGAAGGATGATCTGGTCCACATGCCGCATGGAATGACGGCCCTTGGGTGGCTCACTCTTGTTTGCCAAATCTGGACCACAAGCAGCCCACAGCAATGCCACACGTCAGCCATGAGCAAATAAATAAACCAGAACTAGACCTCATCTGAGACAAATAAATCTGTGTATAGCAATCTCAGCCGTGCCAAGCCTGTAATGCTGTTAGTGGAGTTGTTTAATCCTCCTCTGCTGAGATCAACACAGATTAAATGTCTTCTTGTATCGTCAGTTGATTTCATCTAAGGCTGTGCTAGTCCATTGTAGTTTGTGTGTTTCTCTTTTTCTGTTCTCTTTTTTCTTTCAGTTAGTCTGCTGAGATGATTATATACAGATGATTATGATTCTTTGTTTATTTACTCTTGGCCGACATGTGGCATTGCTATGGACTGCATGTTGGCCAGATCATCCTTCCACATGTGCCAGATGTGAGCCGGATCTGGGCCGACACAATGTTGCAATCTGGAACCAATGGCAATCAAATAATTGGAAATCACTTGGCATACGCTTATAGAGAGCCTAACTCCCTCCCCCTTCCGGTCGACCACCATGGGACCTTATTTCGGGAAAATATTGAATGGTAGTCAATGGCGAGAGACAACAAATATTTTGATCTCGTTTGAATTGTGCCCTGAATTACACATATGATGTTTGTCATTTTAACCCTCAGGTGCTCTTCGGTCATTTCTGACCGAAAAATGTTCTGTTTTGAAATTTTAAAAATCACAGCTTCATCGGAATGTTACGAAACTTGGTGACTTTTATGGCATTGGGTATGTGAACACAAAAAAAAATTGAGGTCATGATCCGAGCAGGCTAAGTAGTCGTAAAAAAAAATAGTCACACTTGTGCTCTTCGGTCAAAAATGACCGACCATAGGAAATGAATGGGAAATTGACAAAAACACAAAAACTTTGAGAATTTTTGTGTGTACAATCTACAAATCGGCCACGATGCAGAAAAAAAGTGCTCAGCATTGAAGGGGTGACACTGTAAAACATCAAGAGTGCAAAACAGACATACCCACCCCTACGCACACACATCCACACACACTTTTATACACAAAAACACCAATAAGTTGTGATTAAAGAAATCTGTTTTGAATATTTAAAAATCACAGCTTCTTCAGAAAATTACGAAACTTGGTGACTTTTATGGCATTGGGTATGTGAACACACAAAAAAACTGAGGTCATGATTCTAACAATTTAAGTGGTCGTAAAAAAATTACTCTTTTGCTCTTCTGTCAAAAATGACAACCCATAGGAAATGAATGGGAAATTGATACAAAAAAAAATTCTCTGAATATTTGTATGTACAATCTACAAATCGGCCACAATTCTAAAAAAAAAAAGTACACCGCAAGAAAGGGGTGACACTCTACAACATCTAGAGTGCAAAACAGACACACCCACCAACACACACACATACAAACACACTTTTATACACATACACACCAATACATTTTGATTACAAAAAGTATGTTTTGAATTTTTAAAAATCACAGCTTCATCGCGATGTTACGAAACTTGGTGACTTTTATGGCATTATGTATGTGAAAACACAAAAAAATTGAGGTCATGATCTGAGCATGCTAAGTGGTCTTAAAAAAATAGTCACACTTGTGGTCTTTGGTCAAAAATGACCCCATAGGAAATGAATGGGAAATTGTAAAAAAAAAAAAAAAAAAAAAGAAAAATAAATTGTGAATATTTGTTTTTTGTCATTTTTTTTTATAAGAAATAGTTTTTGAGATTGTTTCAACTATACAAATCCACCAACAACAACAACAAAAATGTGTTCATAAACAGCTGGGGAATTCACATGTTCACATTGAATTCACATTCAACATTCAAATGTTACTCTTCTGTTGTATGACAAACTGCGACGTTTTTGACTTTCACACTTATCTTTTAAATCGACAAACATCATATGTGTAATTGAGGGCACAGTTCAGACGGAATAAAAAGATAAGTTGTCTCTCGCCATTGACTACCATTCATATTTTTTACGAAATAAGGTCCCATGAGCCGGAAGCGGAGGGGCGGGACTTAGGCTCTCTATTGGACCTCTTTAGTCCAGATCCAGTTTAAACACGTTGGAACTAATTGTATTTATAAGCTATGAATATGTTACCTGGTATATTTTTAAATGTGCGTTTGTTTATTATTTCTTTGCAGGCAAAAGGGAAAGTAATCTTGGCATCATTTACTTTCTTTACACAGCAAACACAAGAAGCAACAATCAACTTTGAATCAAATGGCCACTTTTGTTTATACGGCGACCCCAGTCGTATCTGGAACTCCTCCTTCCACCCTACCCGTCTCCCATCAGATCGGGATTGCAATCCTGGTCATTGCCTTCGTGTTTGGTTTCCCTGGCAACCTGTTCGTGGTGTGGTCGGTCCTGTGCCGGGTCCGTGTGCGCTCCGTCACCTGTCTGCTGATTCTGAATCTGGCCGTGGCGGATGCGCTGGTGCTCCTGAGCGCACCGTTGTTCATCCGCTACCTGGCCGGAGGAAGAGGCTGGGAGTTTGGCGGCCCTGTCTGCAAGACGGTCCATTACCTGTGTTGCGTCAACATGTACGCCTCAATCTACCTGATCTGTCTGATGAGCATGGACCGCTGGCTGGCCGTCACGAAGCCGTTTCTGTCTCAGAGATTGAGGACCAAGAGAAGGCTCCTGTCGGTCATGTTGAGCATCTGGGTGTTGGCTTTTCTGATGGCTTTGCCCATGCCATTCTATCGGTGAGTCAGAGAGATTTTGTTCCAGTCACTACAACCACCAACCCGTTCTCATCCTTTATCGTCACATAGAACGCTATATGACAAAACGGCGCACATGGCACCCTTTATTGTTGATATAACACGTCGTCATAAATCCTTCAGCGTAATATGAGACTACCGTACCCTACCCATCACAGCGCGTTATATTAACGACAATGGGTGCCATGTGCGTAGTATAGCGCCGTTTTGTCACATAGCGTTTTATATGACGCTAAAGGATGAGAATGCATTGCAACAACACAACACAAATCCCACTTTGAATTAGGCAATAACTCAAAGCCATGCCGTTGTAAAAATAAAGGGTGCTGCATGATACCAAAGTCCTTTTAGGCAAGTCATACCACTCGGCCGCCATCTTGGCAACGCCTTGGGCAGCTATTTCGGACTAACAAGACCAGGCTCCTATCTAAATATTCAAACAAAAAGCTAAAAAAAACTTCCATTTTGATTTGTGAACCGGAAGTTGCAAAGGAGTTTTCTCCAGTGTTGTGACGTATTTCGGAGAGAAACGGAATACTAAATGAGGCAAAATAGTGGGCGTGGCTTTTTTTTCTAGCTAGCACCTGATTGGATCTAGAAAAGTGGGTGTTTCATTCTGAAATGGAGGATGACGCAAGTTTACACACGCTGTCAATCAATGCTCGCTCGGCGCTCGCAAACACACAGCAGCTGTCAGTTGGAGGGGCGTGGTTATGGATGTTAAGGAGACACCCAAACCGTAAAGCCTACGTCATCGGGCAAGGTCCTCCAATGCAGAGGGGAGGGGCATTTTCAAACTTTGATTAAAGATTACGAAGACAAAATTTTTTTTTTGTGTGGATTGACTTGCATGTATGAATTGTTCACCACAAAACGATCAATTTAGGCAAACAAAGGAAGTATGGTCAATTTTGATTTCATAGGGACTTTAAAGCTTTCCATGCATTTGTAAAAGCAGAATGATTTTATTCTTAATCTGGGTGCTATGTGCTATTAACAAATGAAATATATATATATATATAAAAAACTCTTGTCCATAATATAAAACACGTAACAGGCTGACAAAAGTACATGTGCAGGGATTTATTGCAAAAAACGACCTCAAAAAATGTATTATCCCAGATAGCAAACTGACATTGAATCAACGTGGAAATATGACATCGAAACAACGTTGATCTGACATTGTTTTGCTCATCGAATTAACGTTGAACCAACGTCAGATGCGTCATTCTTTCAAAACTAACGGAAAATCAACGTGAAATCAACGCGTTGTTTCAACGTTATGAAAGCAAACCAATTTTCGATTTCATTTAGCTTTGAAGAATGCCGCGTCTGACGTTGGTTCAACATTAATTCGATGAGCAAATCAACGTTGTTTCAATGTCATGAGAGACGTCGTTTCCACGTTGATTCAATGTCAGTTTGCTGTCTGGGATGTCCAGGGCGCCCCATCCTTCAGGCCTCACTGTCACTACGCGCCCCCAACATGCCTGGGCTTGCCTGTCAAACAAACATTATTTGTTCTCCTCTGAAAAAATGCAATTGGCACACGGACAAATGTGTTATCTACAGATTTCAAACCTTCCGCAAAATTGCTCAAGTTGAGAAGCTCAGAAACGTACAAAATAGGTCACCGAAGTGATTACTTGACTATTAGAAAGGCTTCCTGTGTTCACAACAAGGGTGTATGGCAGGAACAGCTCTTCTGTTGCCAAAATGTGCTTACTGAATAATTGACCGCATGCATTTGTAAACAATGAATTTAAAGACTGCAACATATACAATATGCAGTAATTAATCCTAACTACTCAGGGACTCTCAAAAATCACTCTTTGGGTTAATTTAATACAGCCTTTCTCAAAGTGGGTGCCGCGGCACACTGGGGTGCCCCCTAGCTGTGTCAGGGGTGCCGCCAAAAAATTATGTAGGCTAAAAAAAATGTGAAAAAAAAACACAGAAAAAAAACAGCTGACATTTCATATATAAATATATTTGAATTTACATATTTACATTCTTCTTTTTAAACATATGAACATATTAATAAAATTGTAAATTCATTTTAGATAAATATATAAAATTAATCATAAAAAAAATCCGTCTCACAAGACCGAAGCAAGACGCACACAACTTGACGCAAGTGACGCAATCCATAGCAACGCGTTATAGCAACACCTCAGACTGACAGAAACGTAAAAATAAACGTGAATTTAGGCCACTTTAGTTACAGCATTATGGATCGTTTTTTGAAAAGAAAATCCCCATAAGAGCCGGGGATTTTTATTTTATTTTATCTGCATCCTGCACTTCATTTGAGTTCTCCTGGTCTGGATTTGTTATTGGGTTCTTGTATTGGGCGGTCCACCTCTTACGGTTTTATGGCATTTGTGTCTCTGATTTAATTATTTTGTGAATTACTTTGCAAACCTGTGTTTTTAAAGGTGCTATAAAGTTTTTATTATTATTGTTATTTACAGTTCATATTATGCTCTGTTCATTACTGTTCTGTCTAACTAAACAAGACAATTGCATTTAAATTTGGGTTATGCAGTGTTTTTAAATTATATTTTACACTGGGGTGCCTTGAGATTTTATGCACTTTTGAAAGGTGCCCTGACTGAAAAAAGTTTGAGAAAGGCTGATTTAATACAATTATGACACATTTCCACACAGCTGATTTGAACTTAAAGTCAATTAATTGAACTGATGAGTAAAATTTATCCTAACCCAGACAGCAAACTGACATTGAGTCAACGTGGAAACGACGTCTCTCATGACATCGAAACAACGTTGATTTTGCTCATCGAATTAACGTTGAACCAACGTCAGACGCGGCATTCTTCAAAGCTAAATGAAAATCGAAAATTGGTTTGCTTTCATAACGTTGAAACAACGTTGATTTCAAGTTGATTTTTCATTAGTTTTGAAAGAATGACGCGTCTGACGTTGGTTCAACGTTAATTCGATGAGCAAAACAATGTCAGATCAACGTTGTTTCGATGTCATGTTTCCACGTTGATTCAATGTCAGTCTGCTATCTGGGAAGTCAGTGTGATCACGTTTATTTGACGTATTCTGTGAATTTTCCCTGAATGTAATTCACTTTTGATCCAAACAGTGCTGTTTTTTCCAAACGCATGGTTATCCAACTATGGTTGCAAGATCCATGTTTCTCTGTTGTTAATGATGCAACTTGCAACTATTTTGAGAAACACACCCCAGATTGGTTCCCTATGGAGAGCTGTGTGAGTTTTCTGTGTTAATGTTACAAAGCCTTGTTTCCTGACTTTGGCTTTGGATGGATGCTCTGAATCACTGGTTTGAAACAAACGATTTGTGAAGGTTTCGAAGCCTCACGGAGCGTGTTTTTGAAAGCGCCCATCACTACACGTACACTGTAAATGATGTGCTGGCCCTGACTGCAACTTAGTATTCAGTTAAAACTAATAATAGTGATGTCCAGTTTACAAATTAATCTTTCTTTTTGCTCAAGGGCTACACAGTACTTATTTCCTGCTGGTATTGAGAATTGAACCGGCAAACTTTGAGTTACAAGTCTGATTCTCTAGCTTAGACAAGCCTGCACCTGGACGTAGCCTATTGTAAATATAACAGTGATCTGATGGCAGTGGTTCAACAGCAGTCATTCTCTCTCGAGTAGCTCTCCAGTCACTAGTCAACATGATCCCATAGAGTGCGTATCTATACCACAAATTAGATTTCTCGTGCCACAACAAGAAACAGACGAGTTGCTGATATGAGCATGCATGAACCGAGCAGTTGACTCGAATGAGAGGGCGAAATTATCATCAAGAACTCACAATGACTGAACTAGACACAGGGCTTAGGCTATGTTTACACAGAAACGATCTGAAGAGCAAACGCAAAAGTGGCGTTACGTTATTCTGGGTTTAGATGTGCGTTATGGGTAGGAATTCCGCGCGGATATGGTGACGCAAAAGTGTGTGAAATTCGATGTATTATGCACTCCAGGCCACTAGGTGGCGATGTGAAGCACTGCCACACAACAACACCAAGTCTGTGTGCCTGCGTACAACTTTCACTGTCAAGTAGACTTTAGCGTTTTTACTAGGGCTGTCAGTTATTAACGGCGTTAACGCAAACCCATTTTAACGGCGTTAATTTTTTTATCGCGCGATTAACTTTTTGTCCTAGCAAACTTTGTCGTTTTTTCACATACTTTTGGCATGCGTCCTGATCCATTTCGGCGCCTCGCGCTCGTCATCCACTCAAAGCCGGCTCGCAAGCCCAAACGTGTGTTTGCGGCGTCCCTGTTGTTTTGTTTACGGTCTAGATCCGCTTGCGTGAGAAGCAACAAAACGTTTTGTGCCGCACACACTCGTTTCGGCTTGCGAGCCGGCCAAATAGTAACGTTACTTTTAAGTGGATGACGAGACGCCGTAAAATTCTGGATGCCCTAAAATTCTGAATGGAAAGTTTACTTTTAAAAACTTGCCATATTGTCCCATTGACAAGACCAAGTGATCTGTGTTTTGTCGTTGTGAACTGAGCTATCATCATCGCAGCACGTCCAGTCTGAAACACCACTTGATGATGGCCAAGCAAACACACACACAGATGATGCGAACTCTCCGCCCCCTCGCCAATATTAGGGCCTCGTCAGTGTATCTTTCACCCTTTTATTGATAGACAGTGTTACATTGTGTGCGAGATTATTTATAGGCTATATGTTAGTGTGAAAATGAACACTATTCCAATGTTATTTTCAATAATAATTTTTCCACTTTTCCATATTGATAAGAGCATTAAAATGAGAAAAAAATAATGTAACAAAAATAAATTAAGAGACATTTAGAATAGATAAAAACGTGCGATTAATCGCAAGTTAACTATGACATTAATGCGATTAATCGCGATTAAATATTTTAATCGTTTGACAGCACTAGTTTTTACCCTGTAGACGAGAACGCGGCGGTGGAACGTTTTTAAGATTTCCGCTCTGGAGGGTGGTTTCACTTTTTTGTATTTTACACTGTCGACATGTAAACGAATTATTTTTACGAATATTAAACGTAATATTTTTACGTTTTCATCCGCGAGCGTTCTCGTGGAAACAGGGCCTAAAATACATACTGGACCAAACACAAGACCCCTGTGAACATTTAAACATTCAACCATTGACAACATGTCACAACAGACAGGGGAACACAAGTCAAGGACATGATTAGAACAGGGGATCAAATGACAGATAAGAACCAGGAACAAGAAACTAAACCTAAGCTGTGATAACTTGCACACGTGCTAAGTGTGTCCCTTGCAATATGCAAATATATACTCAGTAAAGAATTTTTGCTGCATAGCATAAACCCAGTTGCTGATGAAGAGAAACACACAGCATAGTCGAATCTAATGTGGCCACAGAGCCTAACCACACGCTCTGCTCTTCAGCTTAACCACAAAAACCAACGTAACAAAATGGGTTGGAAATGTCAGTTAAATACGGTGCCTATTTCCACTAATGCAAGTTTATTTGGCACTTTATAATTCAAAGTGCTAGAGTAATCACAAAATAAAAGCAAAACAATTAAAACAGTTGTAAAAGCAAGGAAACAAGTAAAAAGATGATGCATAGATAAACCTATGGTGTATCTCACTGTTCTCAGCTGCTTGTTTCACTGTGAGATTTCTTCATGTTGATTGTGGTACAAACCTTGCAAAAAATGCAACAACACGTATTCATGTGATCTAAACACAAATTAATTACGTTTAATTAGCATTTTACAAATTTAATTCTATTTTCCATTTTTTGCATCACTTTTTTCTTGATTTGACTCATTTCAGAGGCGTCTCTGACTTCTCTCTCTCTTTAAATGTTAACCTCTTTCATTTGCTCTTTGCCAGTACCGTGAAGCCGATCCGCCCAGATTTGCCCATCTACCTGTGTACACCGTACCACTGGGACAGCAGTACTCATCAAGTCTTTCAGTACCTGTGTGAGACTCTGCTGGGTTTCCTTCTGCCCTTCAGCTTCATCCTGTTCTGCTATATCTCGGTGATCTGCCGGCTGCGAAGCACCATGTTCCAGCGCAAAGGAAGAGGAAACTTCCTCATCCTCCTCATCATCGCTGCCTTCACCGCCTTCTGGCTGCCGTATCACCTGATCAACATTTTACAGGTGAGTAACACCCCACTGTATGATGCCATCGCATCGTAAATCCTCACATTTACCACTATAATCGCATCATATTTACATTTGAACTGTATTGTATTTATTTTTACACAAAGAAATAGCACATTCCACTCTGACTACATTGGTAGCGTGATGAATGTTTATATACGGTTGTCAATGTAGTCTCCCTGAAAAAAGGAAACGTAGATATTTCAAAGAACAGACACAAACACTTGTTGCGTTGACCTCAATCTCAGTGTAAAAGAAGCATTACATTTTGCACAAAATAACCATGAAATGCTAACCAACTTGCATACAATTTTATGTAACCCCTCCACCCGGGTCCTACTCGCCCCGCTCCGAGCGGGCCTCGAACCCGGGTCTCCGGCGCTAACAAGGTGGCTAAAGACTGCAGCCTCTAGCGTCTGTCGCTAGAGCTCCTATTGAGATCAGGGGAGTGAGGTTTACTCGCACAGCAACTACTAGCTGGCCTCCGTTACACTCACCCCCCTAAACCTCACTCTCATCCGGGTCACGGCACCAATGTAACCCCAACACCCGGGTCCCACTCGACCCGCTCCGAGCGGGCCTCAAACCCGGGTCTCCGGCGTGAGAGTCGGGCGCTCTAACAAGGAGGCTAAAGACTGCAGCCTCTAGCGTCTCGCCTATTGAGATCAGGGGAGTGAGGTTTACTCGCACAGCAACTACTAGCTGGCCTCCGTTACATTTATACACAAAGTGAACCATATTGTTTTTGCTGACAAAACAATTAAAGAGATGAACATCAATTGGTAGAAAACATTATATCCATCCTGGTACACACAATCAACAAGATAGATTGCATCAGCACATGTGACGCTTAAAAAAAAGAAAAAAAGAGAGAGGAATAAATCATTTAACCTGTAAATTTAGAATGAACATAATTTCATCTGTACTCAACATTTGTGCTATGCAAATGAGTGTATCAGCTGTTAAAACATCATTTACTTTGATCATTTTTAATACATTATCCAGAAGGCTCAGCCTTCCATTCTTGCCGATGGTGGTTCCCACACCTCGGTTAACTTCAAATTCAAGGACTTTCCAAGTCCAATACCCTCAAATTTAAGGACTTAAAGAGGCTATATGCAGCTTTTCCCCCAAAATAAACGTAACAATACCCTTTTTATTTTGCCATTTATGACTAAAACATCTCCTGATGAGCATACTGACACCTTGTCCGCTCACAGTGGGTGCACCTATAAGCCTGTATCCTATTTTTCCTATTTTCTGTCGGGTCGTGTCTGTCTGCGGATGGGACGTCAAGCGCGTTCATGTTAAACGTTTGAGATCACTCTGCCACCACCGCTAGTCAGCAAGTAGCCTACACTTTATCTCAAGCAATGTTCTTACCTCTGTAAACATAATGTTGACCTCCTTGCAGAAGATGACTGCGAAAGCGCGAGTTACGAGAGCAGTTCTGTTTTTTGGCCACAGGTGTCAGTCGCGAGTTTAAATATGTAGCCTCTTTAATGTGTGTCCAACAATAAACGTTCAGGTTCCATTGTAGTAGTTTAGTTTCGTCCATGTGTGAACGCCATGGCAACACACACGCAACACGTAAATAAGTGTAACTAACGTAAATCAAGCAAGCTAGTATGCACAGGCCACAAAGTTTTGGCGAAATAACACATTAGCTGATCGGAATAATATAATATGGATTTTCTTTTTTCAGAACACTTCTTTAACAAAATAAATTCAAGCACTTTCAAGGATCTGTATCTATGTATGTTTATTTTCAAAAAATTTCCAGGGCCTTGAATATTTTTTTCCTGATTCACGAACTTTCAAGGATATCAAGGACCAGTGGGAAGTGTGAACCCTGTAAAGTATGGACATTAAGGGTCAATTTTCTCTCATTTTCTGTCCGCCCATTTCTCTTTCTTGTTGGTCTGTTCCTACAGGTGATCGGCATGACGCAGGACTCCCCTTCTCTCCTAAAAGCGGCAAAAACGGCCCGTCCCAACGTGACAGCGTTTGCGTTTATGAGCAGCAGCGTGAACCCCGTCCTGTACGTGTTCACCGGCAGCTCTCACATCCGTCAGGCTGGCCTGGGCTTCATGGCCAAACTCTTTGAAGGAACCAACTCGGAGTCAGTCTCCAGCCGCACCCGGTCCAGCCGCGGATCGAACGGCGAGAGCTCCGTTTTCAGCAAGCTGTCCGTCAAGCTGAGTCGCAAAGGGGACGGGAGACGAGCGGAGACCCCTGGTGGTGAGGAGGAGACTACAGCTGACATGCACAACAGAGACGAGATGAAGACTCTGACCACCCTGCATTAAAGCGCTTTCATTTCCCCTGAAGTCTGTAAAGGTTTTTGGACTCTCATTATCTCTCTGAAATAATATCATCATCTTGAGCTGCTGATGTTTCAGAATAAACCTGTCTTTATTGCCTCTGTCAACTGTGATTGGCTGGAATGCAGACAATACAACATTGTTAGTTTTTGTTAGAATTTGTCTTTTTTTTTATATATACAATCCTGCTGTCTTCTGTTTCTTTTTTGTTGGTTTATAAAAGATGAGTACTTCTACATGTAAACACATCTCTCAGTTGTTAATTGTCCACACTGTTACGATTTGCCCGAACAGAAAGGTTGAGATCCAAATACAGATTTATTCGAGTAATCCAGAATCATAATCTAAACACAGGTAAAGGGTCAAGCACAGGAATGGAGTCCAAACAAGTAAACAAGGGTCAAAGCCAAAAAGGATTTCAAGAAACAGGCAAAAATCTAAGACCCATGACACAATGAAAGAGTAAATAGATAACGAAACCTCTCAGAGAATGAACCAGGCTTATATAGAGTTATTTACACAGAGGTGGAGTGCCCTCTGGTGGCTATCAAGGGCACTCCAACTGCTCTATTTAGACATGTGAGTATGGACAATTTTACATTTCTGATATGAAACGGGAGAAAAAGTGAGCATTATTGTTGTAGATATATTTTATTACATTTCATTTTATTACATGTCTGTTTTATTTCTTTGAGCTTGAAAAAACCTAGAAAAAAATCTGTCGGGAATATTTGTAAAATGTGTCATTGTTATCAGAGGAAGGAAACTGTAAATATTTGCAATAATACATTTAGAAAATTAAAGTTTAATTGAGTTTATCAGATGGGGTTGTTGACACGTTCTTTTATGTTTAGCACAAAAGGATTTGATAATATATTCCCGCAACCTTCACTCCTTTCAGAATAAACAATTAATTTAGCTGAGGTTGGTGCTCAGTGATTCACATTCATCCAGTCATGTCTAATGTAAAGACTTGATTGATATATCAAACTCAGTTTAAGAGAGAAGTACAGAGATCCAATATTATGAAGCTGCAGACTCGGAGCCTGCATCTACAGTCCCCCACCGAGAGTCCCGCATTCTCAGACCCCTCATTTTTCGAACACAGCGCCTCCTGCTGTTCAAAAGATCGAATAACACCCGCACACAGAGTACAGTTTACGCTTATCCAAATGCAATTAAAAACAATAGGATGCAATATTACGGTCTTCAAATAAATTATCCAATAAATATTTGCGTTCCCTGCTTAATGCAGGTGCCAAAAAACTCATTGTTACTGATGGAAGGGATACAATTACAGATTGAACTATCTTCTGAAAAATAGTCTATGTGATATTTTATTGCTACAATGTTTTGTTTTTTTATATATTTTTTTTTATTCAAAATTCAAATTCCACTTTTTCTTTCAGTTCAACCTATAATGGTCTAATTAACATTACCATGCTAACATAACAAAATCTGTTTTTTGATATTTTGAATGCGAAGCAAAATAAATCAGAATAGACAAAACACCAATAATAAACAATTCAGTAGGCTACTTTATTTAATGATCACCTAAACATCATCTTACTGTAAAGAAAAAAGGAAGAACAAACTGTGTTCGTGACTTTACTTTTCGTCTTTAATTGCATTAAAAAACTCATTTATAAGTCGCTTTGCATAATCATAAAATGATATGTTGCTGGAATCGGAAGGGGCAACTCCATCGATGTATGGTGTACTGGATACGATAGCACATGTCTTATGATCTTTCAAAAAGAAAGAAAAAAAATTCAAATTTATGTTGCACTGCTCTGACTGTAGAAGTGTCCCTTGAGATGTTCTTTGGACAACTTTGTGGGTTTAAGATATATGGGGGCACAAAATGGGCAGTAAAAATAACTGCAGCATTTATGACATATAAAAAAGTCCGAGGTTAAAGGCTAACGTTAGCTATCAAAATATTTTCGGGGTAAAGAGGGCGAAAAAACATAAAAACTACCTTTACAAATATTAAATGGACTATTCTTATGTTGTATCGATTAGCTAAATTAGTTTTATTAAAAAATAAATCAAACGAGCTATTACGATTCTCTAAATAAAATTGAAGACAGCCTAGTCACGTTTTGGCTTAGGTTCTGTTTATCTGATACAATTTGATAGTAGGCGCTGACTCGAAAAACGAGGGGTCTGAGAATGCGGGACTCTGGGTGCAGGGGGACTGTAGATGCAGGTCTCCGAGTCTGCAGCTTCATACTACTCCAGAGATCCTTAAAACACAAATGAGGAATTCAGTTACATGAATTATCTAATGATAAAATAAAAATAAAACAGTATAAATACGTATCTAATGGTGAGTATATGATGCCCAATTAAAAAAAAAATTCAAATTAAGTTAGTAAACACACACACACACACACACAAAAGTCAGAAATAGATTTTAAAGCAAACAGTGATCTGGCGGTTGAGGCTCTTAAAATGGACAATTTACAGCTCAATAACAGTTTCCTGATGAATATATTTGAGCAAACATCTAAGCAAAAGATTTCGGTCCTTTTTTACCCTCGGGTATTGATGGAAGAAACAAAGCTTTTTGAAACTTTGAATCAATCAAACCAATTAATTTGTAAAATGACTTCGAAAACACTCCCCAGCCAATACACAGCCACGAGGAGCCCATGGGTTTGACCTGATCTATACAACTGGAGCCCAGACAGTTTTGTCTTCAGTTTTCATGCAGGGCCCACATGGGCTAACCCTACCCTACCCTACTCACAACCAATTCGTACGAATTCGACGAATGATTAAAAAGTGGCTAATTCGTGCTAATTCGTACGACCTCACTTGTACGAATTCATACGATTTGTCTAAACCCACGTGATGGTTAGGTTTAGGGGCGGGGTCAGGGGTAGGTCATTCGTACGAATTCATACGAATTGGCCAATTCATAAAATATGTACGATTTAGTAAAATTCGTACGAGTCAGGTCGTATGAATTGTTACGACTTAGCCACCTTGGAAAATTTGTACGAATTCCCTTGAGATCGGGTTGGCTAGCCCAGATGACATGAACACTTCTCAGTGTGCACACTACGGGAACTGAATCAGTGTCGCAGTTAATGAGATAATCAGGTGAAAACAAGCAGAATCACTAAAAGAAAGAAGAGAACAGAAAAAGAGACGAGAACACTGGAACTACAACTGACTTCAGCAATAGCCTTATATTAAATCAACTGAAGATAAAATAAAACAGTAAATCTCTGAGGATCTCAGCAGAGGGAGATTAAACAACTCCACAAACAGAATTACCAGCTTATTACTATCCGGATTTGCTTTATTTCTGTCAGACGTAGTTCTTACTGAGAAATAAAAGAGGTTTAGATGGATTAGAGGTTTAGTGTGAAGTCACCATGATTGTGATCAGTATTTGCTTTAGTTGAACTCAAGATCCTTAACTTTTTAATGTTAGTTTTTCTCTGGGTGCCTCAGCTTTGTGTTTGTAAAGCACTTTGTTATCGCAAGAGAAAATATAACCTGGTTATGGTTTGATAAGGACATGACTATGAGGTAGTAGTTTGGTTCACTGCCACCCAGAGTCTAAATCTCTGATAACATGCTTGATTTATAACCTTAGTAATGGTGATTGTAAGCCTGTGATTTCACAGCTTGAGATCCAACAGCAAAATGAGCAAATTCAAAAATACATTGTGAATACATTGTGAAAACCAAAGCTTAACCATGATGACCTGTCTATAACAAATGTGTTTTATTAACACAAAGCCAAACAACATCAATGTTAAAGTCACGAGTCCAACTAAATAAAAAAACTGATAATCATCATGGTGATTTAAAATGAAATGCTCAAGAACTTTTGTAGATGTATGAGAGAAATCAAGTCAAACTGGTTATTAATAAGTGCAATAATGTGTAATGGCTGGAAGTCAGTTGTAGGTCTTGTGTTTCTGCTCTTCTCTTTTTTTCTGTGCTTTTCAGTTATAGAAATTATCATTGTACTTTGATATTAGCACATAAGAACAAGTGTAAAAAAAAAGAAGATTTGCTAGTTATGTAAGAACACACACATCTCCTTCAGTCTTCATATCTGCTGCAGATGAAGTTGAGTTTGCGAGTTTCAGGAAGGCTGATCCAGCGCTGATCTCCTCCAGACTGAACTGCTCCAGATCTCACTGTACGCTCACAGTCCTCGTCTGTGCCGTTCCCTGGAGCCCAGTTCTGATAGCACACGGTCTCTCCGCTCACCCAGAACCAGAGGCCCACAGTGCAGGAGTGACGTAAACCCAACCACACCGCCTCAGTAGACGCACGTTTAACCACATTCATCACCTCCTCCTGCATCTGGACTGAATGAACCGAGACCAGATCCGTATAATTCTGTCTGCAGTATCTCAGAGCTTCAGTCCACGTCAGAGTCTCAGTGATCAGAATCAGTTTATCTGGACACAAAACACACCACAAGCAAACACTAGAGAGAGACTGATCAAAAACAACATGCAGAACACACACTGTGGAGGAATCTGTCATGTCAGACATGTAGCGTGAACTTTAAGATATCTGGAGGTGATGGATGGAGTGTGTGTGTGTGTGTGTGTGTGTGAGAGGATCTGCTCACCTTCATGACACACAAAAGGAAACTGGTAGTTGCAAGAGATGTCTGCCCATTGACCTTGATCATTCTGTTTGATCACTGTACAGTTTTCATTTCCTCCAGCATTATCAGGTTCACCAGGAGCCCAGTATCTGAAAGAGGAGTCACTCTGATCTGACCACTGCCATGAGCCTCTGAACAGACCGATCCAGACATTAGTAGATCTGTGATTATCATTGATGATATTCTGAATCTGTTGACTCTCATTCTGGTTCCTCACACTGACCAGATCAGTGTTATTCTGTCTGCAGAAACTCTGAGCGTCTCTCCAGTTCTTCGTCTGATTGACAAAGACGAGTCCTGTGTTCACTTTAAGAAAAACACATGGAAACAGATTCATGAATCAGTTTGTTCATTATTTTTGTACTGATTTACGGGTTAGACGTGAATAAGAGCAGTGACGAAAGCATCATCATCCAAAGACAACAGCTTTCAAGTTTCAACAGCTGAAGATATATTAAATATTTTTCTTAATTCACACCTGAGAAGACAATTACCTAATGACCCACATAATGAGCCTTTCACACAGATGTGTCACTGAGCCACAAGAAAGAATGCAAGGACAAAAATAATAATATATATATATATATATATTATTAATTTATTTTAGTACACAACAGGACGAGTAACTGCAACGCATTCTCGTGACACTTTTGAAATATCGAGAGTAGCCGCAGGACTCTTTTCCAGAGTGGCTCACGAACTCTGATGACGACAGCTCTTCCACGATTGTCCGGATTCAGCCGGCTCAAGACTCGTTTCAGATGCTCCTCGCCTCGCTTCAAATTTAAGGTGTCTACTTATACAACAACGCAGAAGTATAAATAGGGGTTGTGGCAAACCGCTGAAAATGCAGCTCAAAGATAGCAAAGCCAGTCGCTTGGATCAAATTACTGCTGAACACCTTCAGTTTGTGAGCCCTAAGGTTGCGGTTCCTGCGATACCACAGATAATCAATTCGGCTGTAAAGGGCATATTGCAGGTTAGAGGACCCAATGCATAGAAAAACAATGTAGGAACTAGATTTTATTTAAAATATACTTATAAATACGCTACAGAAGCTTTTGGAGTCGTTTTTGTGAGAAAATTTTACTTCCGCGTCTGAAAATGGGCGTGGCGGGCGTGACACAACGAGCGGGAGAACGGTCGATTCACACAACAGGAAAACAATGG